AACTCATATGGGATTTGGGGCTGTAGTTGAGGTAGTTGAGCTTTTCATGTTAATCACCTGCTTCTGGTTGTTAAAAAGCACCTTGTTGCCATGGTTACGCATCATAACAAATGCCCCAAAGTAAAAAAGGTTTCAGTAAAAATCCTTCCAGCTGCACAGCATCTGATACCAGAGGAAGCAATCATTCGAAAAAAGAGATTTACATCCAGAGAAAAAGAGGGATTAACGTTTTCAACAGCAATATCTCAGAATGAATATAACAGAGCTGCATGCATCCACATCGAGCGGCGCAATTCTAGAACATAGCAGATTCATAAAAATGACCTTGTTGCATATTAACAAGCACCACCTGACTGGGACTCTGGAAGAAGGATAATGTATCCTACTGGAGCTAAATAAACTAAATACATCAAATTAAATAATAAAAAGTATCTAAGTTCTGTTTCAGTAAAATGCTGTGGCTCTTTGAACATTTTTCATATCATTATAAAATATAGTGTTTTGTGCTGTAGATTGGTCCAAGCGTTGCCCTGTTTATCTGATTTAAGTGAACATTAACAACTTGACGAGCCCTCTCAGGACACTAATATCTTTCCCAGATGACTTTTTGAGGTATATCTGTTCAAATCTGCTTCTGGGCTGGCGCTGCAGAGTCGTATCCTTTTATGCAGAGTAATAAAATGTCGTTCAGATGAAGTAAGTGTTTAAATTGTTTTAAAAAATTTTATTGAGACCCTCTAAAGCAAATGTTGAGCATATAAAGACAGAAGAAAATGTGAAAGAACTACTGAATTGTTTGAGATGAGACAAGAAGTGAGCACAGAATGTGCTGAAACCAACAAATCTGAAATAATTGGTGGAACCAAACCCAATTACCTAATTAACTTGTTTTTGTTGAATATAAAAACATAATTTTATGACAGAAAGACGAGTTGTAAAATTACCAGAGTTATAGGGATCTGCAGTTTTTATAACCCTACACAGTCAACAGTCATCTACATACAGTAATAGGTAATAGTTGAACAAAACACTTGAACATCAAGAACAAAAGTGAGCCAAGGGCCAATCCCTGAGGTACACCATCACTCCTGAGCCATTCAGGATTTATAATTGTTGAAAATGAAAGCAACGATCGTGTTTAAGGGATACGAACATAATAAATTCAAAGCTGAGTCCATCATAGACGATACAAAAAGATGTTGTGATCAACCTTACTGAAGGAGGCATGAAAGTTTAAAAACTTAAAACTGAGCAGTTTTTCATGTCATCATCATTGGTTATAAAGTTTCCATACAACCAAGTTATTTGACATAAGTCTGGAAACTTAAAAATGTTCTTTTCTTTAAAAATGATCAGAAAAATACTGAAAATTTCACAAATTTGACACTAAGTCATGCAAGCTGTTGCTGATTTCTTTCATAATGCATCTGATGTTTCCACAAACAAAGCAAAATCTTGATCAATTTAGTGTTTTGTTTTGTTTTATAATCACTCTCAGCTTCGTGTCTTTTTCTTTTCTCAAGTGAGTTTCTGGTTTTTGGTTAGCTCCAGGACCAGCCCACATGGTTGCTCTTCCTCTTCCACCACTGTGGATGAAAGAAGACATCTCTGTTGTTAATTTGAAGTCCATGGAAGGAGGTTTTTTTAATGAGTGAGCAAACAGCTTTCATAATTAAAGGCCACGAGACTTGCTAACTTTAGCTGTACACTGTGGACGGGGGTGAGGACAATTAGATTTATTCAAGCATTCAAGAATTCAAGGTTCTTTATTTGTCATTCGCACAACATGTGGTACATGTGGTGGAACGAAATTATGTATACAGGGTCCCAGTTACAACTAACAATAAAATGTAAAAGAAAAACAGCAATAAGATCTGTGAACTAAGAGAAACATCAACTAAATATACACTAAGCACTAATAGCACAAAAACATAACGTCAAACAGCAGCACGAACATGAGTCTGTGTGAGCAGATGAGCACGCATGAACCCATCAACATGAAATAGAGCAGCAGCAACATGAAACAGATCAGCAGCAACATGATGTGATTTTTTCACAGTGATTATTCTAGTTAGAGATTCATGAGTCTAACAGCCTCAGGGTAGAAGATGTTCCTCAGTCTAGTGGTTCTACACTTAATGCTCCTCAACCTCCTTCCTGAGGGGAGTGGGACAAAAAGTGTGTGTGCTGGATGAGTGAGGTCCTTCATGATGCAGGTGGCCCTCTTCCTGCATCTGGAGGTGTAGATGTCTGTGATGGTGGGGAGGCTGACTCCAACAGTCTTCTGTACAGCCTCCATGCCACACGTTGATGCTGGAGCACAGGATGCTCTCCACTGCACACCTGTAGAAGGAGGTGAGGACTGAGCTTCCCAGACCAGCTCGTCTCAGCCGCCTGAGGAATAGAGTCTCTGATGAGCTTTCTTGATCAGGCTGGTAGTGTTGTTGCCCCAGCTGAGGTTGTCATTCAGGTGTACTTGTAGCTGGAGACTACTTTCACCTCAGATCCTCTTATGTTCGGGGTGTGTAGGTGTGTTTGTTCCTTCTGAAGTCCACAATCATCTCCTTTGTCTTCTTCACATTGATGTGAAGGTTATTCTCTTTGCACCAGCTCTCCAGGTGTTCCACCTCCTGCCTGTAGCTGGACTCATCGTTGTTTGTGATGCATCCCACCACCACTGTATCATCTGCAAACTTTACAATATGACAGCCTGGATGAGTAGTTGCACAATCATACGTGAGCAGAGTGAACAGGAGAGGGCTCAGCACACATCCCTGAGGAGATCCAGTGCTGAGGGTTATGGTGGAGGAGAAGTTGTGGATCCTCACTGATTGAGGTCTGTTTGTTAAGAAGTCTGTTATCTGTAGTGATGGAAGAAAAGAAACTAAAGTAATTGCTTCATAAAGACAGAAAAGTCTGAGAATTACAGCAACACTATTAATTTGTGACAAATTAATCTTTCTTGTGAACAACAACACAATTTGTTTTAGTTTCCATTAGGAAAGAGAAATCATTGGTGTGACAGAAAGTAATATTATTTAAAATAATCTTAAAAATAGTTGTAATCAATAGAGCCCTTTGATCTAGGTTTCCAAATCAGCGCTTTCAGAAACCAATTATTTTTATTTTATTGAGCTAACCTGCACAAAAACATTGAAAATATAACTTCGATGACAGACACTCACCTGCAGATCCAGTTGTTTGGTACACGCTCTTAACATAGTAAATGTTTTTTAAATCATCTTTGCTCCTCCTTTTTTTTTTAGATAGACTGCTTTATTTAAAAAAAAAAAAAAAGAGGTTTTCTCCTTTGTGGAGCCCAGATGTTGAAGTTTTACTTCTGATCTCTGATTGATGTGAAAATACTAACATAAAGACCTTAATGTTCGCCAACTCTAAAGAGCAATTTGGCTTCAGTAGAACATTTCTTTACTGGAACGATGGGACAATAATGATTAGCTGTAGCAGGTAAAATCTCAGTTTTTTGTTCTATAAATAAAAATAATAAATGTAGTTCTATAAATAGAAAAAAATAAAGGGGCAGGAACATTTATTCTTCTCCAGCCCCGCATTTTAACAGCTCTCGTGATATTATAAATTATTTAACTCATTAAGAAATTATTTCCAGTTATATTTAGCTCTTAGCTCATCAATTTAGTATGAAACGAAAAAAAATCTAAATATATTGTTTTCAAGCTGCGCTCATTCAAAGAGCCATGTGCAACAGGTAAGATATGAACTGTTCCTAATCTTTCCACAGAACCCTACTTCAAAAAAAGCGCTGAACTTTTCCTTTAACGCGACGGATTCCACATGAGTTTAATAGTTCATCTTCTAGGAACAGAGAAATAAGTTTCAAATAAAACGTGGAGGTAATATTTTCATGCTACATTGACCCTAGGTACTCATTGAAATGAACTCAAACATAAATGAGTTATCCTAAACTAAATCAAAGGTTTAAAAAGGTTGTTTGTCAGATATGTTGATTTTCAGTTCTGAAATCAGGTACGCACTTGATGTAAACTTTTTATATTTAATTCAACAGGATAGTAGACATGTACTACTACCTCTGAATTGTTGGACTTGACCATATCATTTTCAGTCACTTCCATTGTTTACGTAGGTAAACAAACTTTGTGTACAAATTTTTCATTTAAAGACACATTAACGTGTGTGTGTGTGTGTGGGGGGGGGGGGGGGTAAATGTACGAGCTTTGCTTCTTATTTTGGGTTGTTGTGTTTTCCTTTTGACATGTATTGACAGTATCTTTGAGGCTTGCATGAATATATCTTAGACTACACAGGGAAAAAATACGAACCCATAGATCAGTTCTTTTAGATAAAGTTTTACTTTATAACACAGAGAAACAAAGTTAAACCAGCTTTTATTCACACCATTTTGATGGATGTAGGTTCAAAATATTTACTGATTTGAAAATAATAACTTACGATGAGCAAATAGCTGATACGGTTAGTAGAAATAATGTGACTTTGGTTGAAAGACACCTACAATTTTCTACAAACGGAATGTGTTTAAATTCTATATTTACATATGAGGTATTAATTGGCAAACCAACTGCAGTCAACAGAATAAAATAGCTTGCACCATCAACACACTTGCGTTTAAAAACGGTAAATGCGTTAAAAATATAAATGTGTCATGACATTATCCTCAATGTCCTGTCCGTTAATATGCCAGTACGTTTCGATTTGCCATGTAATAAATAATACATGACAATAAATAAAACTTTTCTTTCATAAAAAATATGCAACTTTTGCACTTTATATAATCATAAACCATAAATATGAGTTCATCTTATGAACAGACTATAAAAACGTGATTAAAGTCAATCTTTCTGTCCCAGAAAGCGTTCTCTGTAAGTGACAGAACAGCTTGTTAAGTCATTAAATGTTTGCATGTTAGCAGGACTCCTGCAGAAAAACTGTTCATGAGTGCTGCACGTCACGTGGAGCCACAGGCAGAACGAACCCCTCCCTGAGAATCTGAGCCCTGTGGAAGCTGCAAAGAAACACAAAGTACGGCTCTTTTTGTCAAACTTCAGTCCCAGCCAAAGTCTTGTCCGCTCATTTGGTAGAAGCGGTGGTTGAACGGCCGGTAGAAGTCTCTGAGTCTCTGCAGAACCTCAGCTGGGATCTGGGGATGAGGTCTGCCCTTAGACTTTCCAAGGCAGCGAGGTCTGCTGCTCCCCTCGGGCTTCTTCAAGCAGGGAAACCCTTTGGTCTCGTTGAAGTAGAAATGTTTGTCTGAAATGACCCTTTTCAGGCCCAGGAAGTCCTGCACCCGACCCATCTCCCCGGCTGGATCGGAAACCAGGCGCTCGCCGCTGACGAACAGAAAGTGAGACAAGGGGAAATACTGGAGCCAGTTCTCCAGGTGCTTGGCGTAAAGCCCGATGCGCACGGCGCTCCACGATGTGTCGATTGGGCCGGAGGAGTTCTTCAAGACCAGACTCTGGAAGGACGGGAGGCCCGGGTTCTTGGACAGAGTCTGGGTGTAGTCGGACACAGCGCGCGTTACTGGATCCCTGACCACCACGATTAGCTTGGTCTGGCAGTTCATGGCGCAGACGCGGCTGGGAGCTTCTTTTGTGACAAAGTAGCTGGGCGTCTTCTCCATGGTGATCTGCCCGTCCAGAGTCCGAGGCATCAGGTTCCTGAGTGGAAAGAAGACATGATAAAAAAAAAAAAGGAATTAGGGTCAATCATAAGGTTTTCTATTATTATGTTTAACAGGTTTTCAAGATTCGAGGTTCTTTATTGTCATTCGCATCACATGTGGTACATGAGGTGGAACAACATTGTGTACTCAAGGTTCCAGTTACACCCAAAAATAGCAAACAGATAAATTTTAAAAGCAACATATAAGATCTAAACTATAAACTAAGAAATACGGTAAACAATACAGTAATAGTGCAAAAACAATACGTGGAACAACAACAGATGAGTACGACTGAACACAGCAGCATGAAATAATCAACAGCATGAGATCAGCAGCATGGATAATCAGCAGCACATATCACCAATCAAAGTGGCATTACAGTGATCTTTTTTTAAAATAGTTTTGCTAGTTTGAAAACAAATTGTCATCCACTTATTGTTTGCAAGTAAAACTAGTTCAGATCTTTTGAAGTGTGGTTAAGAACATCAACAAAGTTACGAAGAACTTTAACAATTCAAACAACAGGCTTTTTTAAATGACTACATAAAAATGTCCTCATGCAAACCATTTTATATTTATGCTGCTGTCTGTGTTGTATTATACAGTTATTTACCTACATGTTTATATATGATTCCAATATAAAAAAAATTGTGGCGGCAGCAGCTAGCTGTAGCACTTCAAGTCACTTCTGGCAGGAATAACCATGTGAAGTAAAACCAGCGATGGTGTACAGAGTATTAGGTTAGCGCTCGCATAAACCATTACGACTTCTTTTATACTGGAGTTGTTTTAAGTTGGCTGTGATCCACTTTGGTCTTGGTCTCGCAAGACCAAGAATTTCAACCAAGACCTCGCTAAAACAGTGGACCCCCACATTTAAGTGAGCTCTAAAGTCACAGTTTCTGGTTTACTGCTGTGCTAACTTCAACTAAAAGAGCATCGACAGGTCAACAGGTTGGATCCTAAAGCAGGTAAAGCACATCAGACTCCATATGATCAAAGCTTTAAACCTAAGGTCTGCCGAGCAGAACCATCCACTCACTTTGGGCCCGATGAGTCAAAACCACAAAGCCTCAAGAACCACTTAACAGCAATTTCCTACAGATTTCCACCCCCTCTTCTTCCTGCACGAGCAAAGTCCCCCCACCCAGGTTCCAACAGGGGTCCAAACGTGTCGCTGCCTGCAGGAAGTGCTGTAAAAACCGCTGAGCTCAGCTAGTGTGTTGAACACATGGCTGCAACGAGCAAAGAAAGGGGCTATAATATTATGTGTCACTATTAAATTGGGGTCAATTATGTATAATAATTGATAATATTGCATAATTTAGATACTTATTTTTAATCATTTAGTTTACTAACAAACACTTTTGTCATTTTTTTTTTCTCTTTTCTGATCCAATTCAACTTTCCTGTTTTCAGATTTTATATATTTCTGCATTGTGTGTAACATTCAGGGTTCAGACGTGTTTGTGTGACTATGATCGATGGGAAAACCGAACGAGGAAAAGTTGTGACACTTTGAGTTTTAGAAGCAAACTGTTTTGCCTGACAAATGACTGATGAGCGCTGATTAAAACAGCAGAGGAAGTGTCTGCATTTCATTTATACAACATTTATCTTAGTTTTTTACTGGAAATGAAGAGCCTTCATGTGGTTTCCCTTTAAAATAAACAAGCAGTGGAGCATTTGGGCTTTCTTTGTTTTAGATCAAGAACTTCTATTAAGCCTGAGGAGCCCATTCTGAAATGTAAAGGACGTCTGAGGGAAGTTTATTTTCATGTTCCCAGACAGATCGTTCATGATCAAGTGTGGCTGTAACCGTTACTGAAAAGCAAGCAAAGCTCTGTAATGAAATGATGTTTTTCTTCTTTTTTAATTTTTTTTTAGAAAAAGGATAATTGACAACAAAACAAGTGGATTTTTTTTTACATGGTAATAAAAGGAAATTAGCACTTTTAAGAGGATATTTAGAGAAAATCAACCTAAGCGTGAAACAAGTAAATACTTCAAGAGTTCAAGAAAAGTGGTTGATCAAACAGGCGATAGTAAAATAAATGAGAGTTAAAATATTTCTAGTACTTTGAGATAGACAAATAATTCAACAAAAAGGTTTCATATAGTTCTTTGGAGGAAAAAATGTCCAAATCTCCTTTTAGCTCAGCCTGCATTCACACAAAGAAGCTTTTATTGAGAAATGATTTTCTTTAAGTCTTTAAAAAATGTCACTTTGATTACCGTATTTTCCAGACTGTAAGTCACACTTTTTTTCATTGATTGATTGATTGAGTCCTGCAAGGCTGCGACATATAGTCCGAAGCGACTTGTATATGTTTTTTTTTCTCCCTATTCATGACACAATTTTTCACTGATGCGTTAAATGTTCATTCGATACTGACATGAGCCAAAGAGTAAACACTGAGAAAAACTTAACACAAGTAAAATGTCCCCAAAAGTGATGTGGAATGAGACTGGTGAATGTACCGGTAACTTGCTTGTTGGACTTGTCTTGTTATGTTAGTTAAGTCTGTTCAGGATCCCAGGTGTTATTGTTATTTCAGATTAAATGTCTGTTCTTGCACTTTGTGAAATACACTTCTAAATAAATGCGACTTATACTCCGAAGCGACTTATGTATTGTTTTTTCCTCTTCATGAGGCATTTGTTGACTGATGCAACCAGTGCTTAATTTGAACCGGATCCTGCCGGAACAAGATACGGGAACTTTCTTATTTTGTCAGGGTGCATTCTGGCAACTGCTTGCTTGGATCCAGCAACTCTTAGGCTTACTACTAATAAAGTTATGAGTAAAATATGGCTACAGCCATGCTTGAACCGTGTCGCTCCCCTCTGCTGCTGAGACGATAAATAAATAACTCCGACACCTCCTCTGCTGTTTGTATGATGCTTTGGACGCTTGTCACCCACAGCACGCATGCGACAAAGAGTATAAACTCAAAGTGAGAGCGATGCCTGCCCCTCTTTTCCTCTTACGCTTTAACAATTTTTTTTTGTTTTTTAGTTTGTCAAAGCACGATTTTGATGGGGTTTTTTTGTAAGTAAATGTTAGGACTATATTCTTTGCTAACAAAATATATTTTATGTTATTAAACAACTTGTCAGGTTCTTGTCTTGTGAGCATGTGCATTTCCCAGGAACCCCCACCCCCGCCCACCCGATGCGTTCCGGCATCGATCGGTTTACAAATTAAGCCCTGGATGCAACCTATACTCCAGAGCGACTTATAGTCCAGAAAATAAAGTATGTTTTTGCCTTTATCTCTCTCACTTTGTATTTTACCAATATTTTTTATGAATGACTGGAAAACGTAAAAAAATGAAACTCTCAGAAAGTAATCACTGGATCTGTATCTACAACTGACTAACTACTGGAGTTGGTCTAAATAAGCTTATTGATATTAGCTGACACAAATTTTGCTTTAACTCAGTCAAATTTACAAACACTAAGCTAAAGCGTGATGTGGTAGTAGCTGAGAGTCGATTCCAACGCATACACGACTCATTTACACCTCTAGATGCAGGAAGAGACCACCTGCATCATGAAGGACCCCACTCACCCAGTGCACACACTTTTTGTCCCGCTCCCCTCAGGAAGGAGGTTAAGGACGACTACAACTTCACTGTTTCTTAACAACAAAAGATGATCCTAGTCTGAATGTCTGGGATGACAGGCGGCGGGAGACATCCTTTAGGAATGCTAGGCCTACAAATTATAGAGGTTTAAAAAAGAACAGGAAGAAAAAAGTCAATTTAAAGAAGTTAAAAGAAGGAAGATCTCAGTGAGCTGTTCGTGTACGAGAAGAAAACTTCTGTGAAGTTTTTAAGGTAAGCCCTTTCAACCCACCACTTTTAAAGGATCCCTTTAATGAAAGACCATTAATTGATTGCTATCCAATTACAAGAGCTGCAAATGGTCCATTGCTGCCTCCCTGTCCCCAGTTTATCAATGTCTGATCAATACGTCTGTCTCTATATGACAGATTGCTCTCAGTGTGTATGAATAGATATGAGTGTGCTGTTGCAGATCCACACGAGAACACAGAGGTGTCTGCGTTTACTGATGAGTAAATTAGCGCCCGTCTCCCTCTCCGTTCTCAGCTTCTCGTCTGCAGGCTTGGATTTGTCCTTCGCTCCCTTCAGATGAGTGACACCTGAGTAAATGACCACAAGTTGTCTTTCCAAACTCATGAATAATTGATGAATTATGGCTTTTTACTCAGCTCCCTTCAAGGTCTCTCTCGTCACAATCAGTCTCATTTTCCGTGAATCAATGAAGACAATTTTCCATCATAAATCTGTCTGTATATAGTGTCAGGAGAAAAAGTAAACACACCACAGATGATTAATCTAAGATACGTTTCATTAATCAACCCAAAGAAAACTTTTTGTTAAGGATCTGAATGTGCAAATATGTTTTCTATTTAGGGGACTCCCTGCTGTTAAAAGGATGTAGCACTTTCCTCCCTGAAACGCTACAGAGCTGATTACACCGCTGATATGTTTAAGGCTCGCAAGATTAACACAAAACCTTGAGAACAAGGATGTGGCGAAGAGACTTCCTGCCCCCTGAGATTATGGGTTCTCCTGCTGGAGTGCAACTACACCCCCCTTGGCATCGTAAGAAACACACACAAAGAAAAGGGGTTCTGCATGTGAAGTGAAGCTGATGGGAGAAAACAAGCAAAGGATCCTAAAACATCAATAACCAAACCATGTTCTGGGATAAAATCATATCTCAGACCTCAGAGTTTATTAGAATAATTTACATCTATCTACAGTAAAGTCTTTATTGCGGAAGGAGGTGTTTGCTTTAAAAGGCAGCTATAAAATAAAATGAGCAGAAACTCCATTCAAGATGTGATGGAAAATAAAGGCTATAAAAATAAACTGGGGGGTACATCCCCCAATGATGTTTTCTTGCTCGCAGAGTGACAGAGGAACGATAAAAACGATAGAAAGGAGAGTTTGGATTATTTAAGTGGCTTTTTGTGGGGAGGTTGTGAATTGTCATCGTCTTATCCGAAATAGGCAGCTGTCGAAATCTTAAATTGTACAGTAGAGACAGGGAGACGTTCTCATGGAGGAGTCAAGCTAATGGTTTGTCCAATTAGGGTAGACGTGAGCAACTTAAGGCCCGAGGGCCAAAAGTGGCCCTTAGACAATCTCTATCAGGTCCCCAATGTCCTTAGCTCAAAAGAAAACAACTTAAAAAAATAGATTGATGAAAAAAAAATGAAGACAAGGAAATTTAAATTAAACATCTTACGCAAAAAACAACATAGAGGATAGTGGAAAGACATGTTTTTATAAAGCACGCTAACTATGCTACAATAAGATCATCTGTCATAAAGGAAATTTTCCAGTTTTCCATGCAGCCCTTTGATTGCTTTAAACATCTTGATGTCGCTCCTTGGAAAAAAAATGTTGCCCACCTCTGAATTAGGCTCTATTCCAGAGCAAATAATAGCCATCTAAAACCACTCAACCTTCAAGGTTGTCACGGCAATTCAACCATATTATTGTTGAACAAAGTTAAGTCAAGTCCTCTGGATGGTTTTCTTTTTGTTGAAGCATTCCATCCTTCATCCAAAGGACTTCATCAGTCGGAGGAGCCACAACAAACTGTCCTACAAACAGCACTTTCATAGTGGACCAACCAGGTTATCACCATCAGCCTGGTTGATCCACTATGGGAATGAGTTAGTTGTGACTCCTCGGACTGATGAAGTCCTTTGGACGAAGGACATAACGTTTCAACAAAAATAAACCATCCAGAGGACCTGACTGAACTTAGTTAGATTTTTTTTACCTGGATTATTGCTCATGAACCTCGACACATAATTGTTGCATTAAACAGTCACGCGGGCTGGGTTAACTCGTTCAGTTTTTGCAACGTGCTTCGAAAGCAATGTACAGCAACAAACTGCAGACAACATAACCATTAATATCTCGAACTTCTATAAAATCTTTAAGGTTTGAGTTATTTGAGATGGCTGATATCCACTACGAAGCAGAGCCAGGGATAAATAACTGTTAGCTTGACTCCTCCATGATCATGATGTGACTCCTCTGACTGCTGTCTATTTCACACAACTTCTCCACAAAAAAACATTTAAAACATGTCCAAACCATTTATTTTAGACCATGGACTACCTGACAGACTGACAGGTCAGTAAGAACATGGATTTAGACTTTTATGCCTGGAATAAATAGTGTTTTGATTATCCCCTAATAAGAAAATGTAATAATTGTATTGTATTATTAGAAACATCTTACAGGCTGGTTTCTTTAGCGGGAACTGGACATTTTGGTGAAATATACTCATTTGTTTTCTTGATGTGACTTCGTTGCTTCTGAACATCCTTTTGTCTACAGCTTTAGCATACGTTACACACAAGTTTAGGGTAGAGGGAGGAACAGCCTGCCCCGTCCGGTTCTGAGAAAAGCCACAACCAAAGACATTGGAAAACCGAGTTAGCCCCCCTGAAAAGCCATTTCCTGTATCTGTGGTTTTGGTTGCTCACACATCCCTGTAAAGACCAGCAGCAGGTCCTGACCCTGTTGGGTGGGAAGTGAAGACCACAGGTTGGTCATTTGTTGCTCTTTTGTCTTTGAAGGAACTATTGAACCAATTTCACACAAGCCACACATTTTACAGTAAATGTGGCTTTTTCTCTGTGATGAGAGAAAAAACAAGACCTTGATGTGTCACAAATGTATAAAAAGCTAACTAATATGTAGCTAAAACAGCTAGATGTAGCTTAGCCATTAGCTGTTTGAAGGAGAGTGCGTGTTTAAATCCATTTAGGAAGTTGCCTGCCGGCGAGAACATTGTCACACTCATTTTAAACACATTATTTTACTCATATTTGGTATTAGGAAAGTGATGAGTTTTCATAATAGAGAGCTATGATAGCCACAGACACTACTTGGGATGCTTATTTAAAAGAAGGAAATAATTTACAGTGACTGATGCCTACTTATGATTAAAAGTCTTTACGTTCATCATGCTTTGCAGAAAACTTTGATATTGGCTTCAACATCTGGCACATGAATGTACAATAAAACTCTCAACAAATAAAATATGGATTACTGATAATGGTAATTTAAATATACCAAAGCCTTTACTACTATCAATGATGACAACAGTCTTTGTTCTGACTTGTGATTTTTTTTGTGAAAAAGTTTTAGTGCTAGAAGACCCACTCTGAGGGATGCACTCAAGATCAATAAATCAGACATTTTGACCGCTTGTGTAGAAAGAGTGATCTAAATGAGGGTTAGGTCTAAATTTATGGGCCTCTATTGTAACAAGATCTATATTTCTTTAACATTAAATAGCTCATTTGTATAAGCTGTGTTTAAATTAACATCTGAGACAAAAAGCAAAGTTAGATTTAAAGCACAAATAGGTTCTAGTCCAGTGTTTCTTTTAAAATAATTTAAAAAAATAGCCTCATACTTGTTATTTTATGTGGATAATTTCAAATTTTGTAATTGTTTACTGTGTGTAACTATAAAAAAATAAACTTTTTCCAGCTTTATTTTTGGCTCTTCTGGAAATCCCAGCGCAAATGAGCACAAGCGAACTGTGCCATTTTGGCTCATGTTAAAACACAACTAATATTCCTTCACAGACTACCTTTTTCCCCTCTCGCAAGTTAACACCAGCAAGGAGCTCAGAAGAATCATCTGAAAAGTTTCCAAGTTTTTACAAGCAGGACCACAATGAGCATCAAATTATTACAATCCTCGCCATATGGGGTGTGAGTGTGGGCTTTATAACAGCAGGTCCAGCCAAAACCCACCATCATTAAAACACATAAAAGTCCAACCCTAGAGAGACCACTTCCTGGTCTGGTAAACCAATCAGCCGCACCAAACCTCCATCACTAATGGCCTTGGGGATGGATACAGAAATAGCGCACAGGGAAAATTGCCCCCTGCTTTGGAAAACTGTTGCTCCATGAGGATAAGAGTCGACTTCCACCATCGCAGCTGTCAAAAATTAAGAGCCACTGAACCAAAGTTTGAATGTGACCTGCAAACAGAACTGTACTGCTACTAACGCTGCAACAAGGTTTTAGACTAATACTCAATCCCAGAAAACTGATTAATAATGTTAATTTGAATCACTAACAATTAAATTAAAATTTGTGCTTCAAAATATAA